GACTCCCTCCCTGAATCATTCACGTAAGTTAATTCCAAGAACAATTTATTGCTCTGGTCTTACATAGCCTTGGTATGGAAACTGTGTATTAATAGCCTGACTGATTTACAGAAAAAGCTCACAAAATTAGCATCCAGTAAATAGAAAAGGAAATTTTATCTTCTGTATCAAGATTAGCATCCATTAGTATCAAGAGACAAAGACAGAAGAATAGTTTGCAGAGCTATCCTGTATTCCACATACGTACACAAAAAACCATAAGCCAAGGACGTCAATGGAGACAACAACACTTTGTGGGAAATCAGTTCCCCTTCCTTGAGGAGGAAACACACACAGTCAACACACGAAAACTATTGCCCATGTTCTGCGTAAATGTGCCCAGTTTGCTTCTCGTCTTTCTGTATTTTGCAAGATTACAATTGGAATACAAAGACTCACTTATCAGTTTTTAATTTCATTCAGTTACTTGATCAGCAAAAATATAAATCTCTCCTCAGATGGAGAATACTTTAGAGGAAAGGAATACAGCAAGGAGTCACATTTATTTTGTTGGTTTTCTTCATAGCCATACTCTCTTCTCTTGTCACATCTCTACCTTACGAGTTTCTACATATAAAGGAAACCCAAATTTTCTTTTTACAGTTTAATCTAATCTTTGATGTAGCTGTAGGCTTAACACGGAGGAATAATTACAAAAGAAACATTATACTTTTTATGAAATATTAAACTTACAATTTATCTTTTAATACCTACTTCAAAGACTATTTGACAGGAATAAATAAATGAGAGCTTCTTGGCAAGAGAAGCTGTGATTTATGAAATATTTTATTCATTCATATTCTTAAGTATTTTCTTGAGAATACCACTAACATCTGGAGCTATGCAGTCTTATCCAAACATTCTGCTCATACTCAATTAGAAAATTATATCAATAATAATGTAAAATAAATTACCTAGCTTCTCTTCTTGGATAATAGATTTCAATGTTCGTCAGAGCAACTATGTGTACAAACAGCACTGTAGTGTTTTTCATTAAGCCTTAAAGTCAATTAAGCTACGAATTGGAACAATCATTCCTCCTTTGCAAAGTATTGATATTTTTTCTTTGCTGCTTTCAGGCATTTTGGCTACTCAAGGAGAGATTTATGTTTGACAATTTCTTTCTGATTAAAATGAATCATAACTCTAGGATTCTAATTTCCTCTTTTCTGAGCAAGAAATTGTATCAAACAGTTTTAAACTGATATTGAATGTCATCGTGTGAGAACAACATTCATTTTCAGGATATCAAATGTAAGGCTATACTGATCTCTCTTTTTATCTGCTTCTTACATACTTTTGCTTCTTTTTTCTCTCTCTATATATACACATGTATATATATATATATATATAAAACACTAGATTGTACCAATATAATCAAATATACCTCTCTATAAAAATTACATCTGACAGACTACCTAGACGAGTCACATAAAAACTTGTCACAATGCTTTACATAAGGCAATTACTCTCTCTTTGCAATATTAGCAAAATACTGCTGTAGTTTAGAAAGAAAATAACTGGAATACTGCAGGTTGTAACAAATGTCAGTTATCTCAAGTAATTAGCAAGTTTATATGGGTAATCCCTACTGCAATGGCTCAAACTCTAAAACAGTTATAAACTGTCAAAACCAAAGTTTTCTAGATCTGTCTCCAACAGCCAATTAAGATCAGTTTGAATTTGTTTTTTTAAACATAATGGCAACTAATCTGAAAAAAATTATTTTCTCCCATTATTCCTCCTGTTTTTTCTAAATCTTAACAATTGGATTTTTTCAAGCCATCTAGCTGTCCCATTTTCTCTCTATAAACTTGACTTTCAGCTTTCACTAAAAGCAGGTTGAAACTGAGGGTGTTTTTTGCCCAATAACTTACATAAAAGTACAACAGGCCCAAAGAAGAGCTGTCTTTCTGCAGACACTCAGTTTATGGCATTCCAGACAAGAATGCCAGAAACAGCTTGACTAAGAGAACAAGCTGGATGGCTTTCTTGAGTACTGTGACATATATTAATATTTTATTTTTAAATGCTGCATTACAGGAGGTTTACTTGGGGTTTTTGTTGCTGCTGTTGTGGTTTGGCAGTGGTGATGGTTGGTTGCTGTGGGGTTTTTTTTAAGAATTACATTTTTTTCCATATATATTTCAGGCTTTAGTTAACACAGACCATCAATTGCATAACCGTATCAAAACTTTAAATAACAATAGTTGTTTCTTTATACATTTGTAATTATTTTGTCTTCTTGCAAAATAAGCAGAACTCTCTTTTGTGTCAGACAACAAAAAGAATGAAAAAGGAAATATTCTTTGTCAGACATTTAAACCTTGAGTGCTAAAACATACAGTCCCACAGAAAAGCCAGCAAAGTATACACATTGCTTTTGGTAATACACAAGTTATAGAAATACCAAATTTATTACCAACACAGTACACTTATGACATATAAACACAATAGAATTCAATACAGCATAGATTTTTGTAGTTATAAAAGTCTAGTTCATGCAAACTAGAAGAAAACGGGGTTTGGACATTCAGTTGAAGAGTAGGCACTTATTTATCAAATTTCCACTCCTCAGAATATTGGAGGAAGACAGTATTTATAGTGCAGCTCAGAGACTTAATCTCCAAAATTTACAAGAAAACATAAAACAATTAGGTAGCACTATTGTTGCCAAAAATACTACCTGAGTAACACAAGCATGAGGCTTTGTGAGGCTGCATCCTAAACAGCTGTATTTTTTACAAAAATTGGTTCCAAATTGAAAAGTAAGCCAATTTCCTTTTGATAATTTTGCTTTCTCTAGGAGCGAGGGAGAAAAAATACTGTGGATGCTTTTAAGTTCTTTATAGCAGGAGAGGTGCAGTTACATACTGAGAATCCATCTGAACCATATGCAGAGGTTGTTGACATTTTTCTTAAACTCTTTCATTTTAGGAAAAAATTTTCAATTAACAACTTCCTGCTCTGCAGTTACACCTATAAGCTAAAAATTAATATCTTGCATCAATATTTTAATATTTTGTCTTTGTTTTCAGTAACTGACTTTGGGGCAGGTTTTTGTGTTTGTTTTCCTCAAGATTGCTTACAATTTGATGTAAATTTTAAGCATCTTGTAATTCATCAACTAATTCTCTCCTGGTTACACACTCCAAGTAATTAAAGTTCAGTAATAACTTATTCTTTCTGCTCCAGCACCTGCATTTCATTTGTTTATTTTCCCAGAGTCATAAATCTGAGGGACTGTCAAAGTGCCATAATATTAGTGCAATAATCAAAGTTAATTAGTCCCTCTCAATAAACAACAACAAAGCCATTACAAAGATGCATTGAAGGTTTTCCAGCTACCCAGTTTACAGATGAGATTATTTTCTGAACAATTAGAATTTAAAAACTGTTAGTAAATAAACATAGTGTTTCTGAAGTAATTTGACCTTCAGTGATCTTCATTCAATTAACAATTCATTACTTTTGGCGAGATATTATAGGTATTAAGACAAGTACTCCTGAACTCCCGGTGTCTTCAGAGTGATCAGAGATACGCTTAGAGTTAAGGGGTTAATGGGATTTTTTTAAAAATAAAAGGTACTCAGTACTGCCTTTAGTTACATAAAATACATTTATATGGGTATATTTATCTGGACTGGGACTACTAAATTCAAAAGACAGAATATCACCAAACCCAGTTCTATTGGAAGAGAATGAACAGACAAACTTTAAGCAACACACATTATGCTTGTCCCTTTTGGAACTCTCTTGGAATTCTATGCTGTTGAAATACAAAACAAGAGAGCTTTAATGTGAAGTACTGAAGGGGAAAGGAAGATATTTTCCCCTCCCAATCCTTTACTGTAAATCATTAGTATCATCTGGGCAAGATAAAAAGGTCTAAATCTAAAGACTGTTTCTTGAAGAAACTTGTGGTTACAAAAATTAGCAATATTATAAATATGTAAATAAGTACTCTTTGTTTTGCACTAATAAATATTGTAATTATGTGTAGACTACTTATGTGTAAATATTAATTCTACTGAGTGCTCTCCCATATCATCTGGGAGAAGCTGAAATATTTTCAGAGCTTGGGAAATAAAGCTAAAACACTCATCAATAATTTTAGCAGGAAAGAAATAAAATAACAAATAATCTGACCTTGTGCTTTATTATTCAAGTAAAGTGTATAGGATTGTGTCAACAGATTATCTCCCAGAAGTCAGCAGTCATAGCAAGCTCAGACAAAACTAGCCTGCAATCCTTAATAGCAAGTAAATGATTGTGGGAGGAATAAATTAATAACACTGAATAAATTTTAATAACAGTCTTAGATTAAAAAAAAGTGTAGAGGGAGGAAGTTAGGAGTCAAAGAGAAGGGAACAGACAGTACTAAAGAGATTGTATTTTATATTTGCATGACAAAGTAAAAGAAAAACGAAAGAAAGAAGAAACAGGAAGGAAATAAAACACTGAGGCTGCCTGACAGCAGTGCTGTTAGGCACTAGGAAAGAAAAGGAGGGAAATATTCTTGGTTTAGAAAAGTGTAAGAAAGATCCTCTGACACCTCCTAATGTAATAAAAACTATGAGCAAAATAGTGGCTATCTAATACCCAAGTGTGTACATTCTCCTTCAGTTAGTTATACACTTTGGTTCTGGAAATGTCCTGTCCTATGAGCTATGAAACATGCCTCAGTAGTTCTTTCAAACATTTCTGCCTTTTTGAAGCAGCTGTACGTAACATGGATAACAGCACGTCCAGCCTTGCAGCTCAATACGGTCATACAAAATGAAAAATCTCTATCACTGATATACCAGTGACTGAACAGGATAATACAAAGCAAGACAAATGCCTTCTTCCTCAGGTTCTTACATTGCAATGTAATACCTATTTATCTGCTTGTACTGCACAAAAGACTTCACCTATTGAAAAACACAGCTTAGCGATGGACACTACATACATTCACTTACCCATTCCGCCAGAATGCGTTGTACGGCGTCATTGCCTCTTGACACATTTCTGCAGGCCAGGATAACATATGCCCCGTGCAGAGCAAGAGACTTTGCAGTTTCAAAACCTATGATAAAACATTTTCCTAGTCAGAAATAAATCTCAGTAACAATACAAAGCTATAAAATTACCTGAAAAGGTGAGCTATACATTTAATTGTACTAACACTACCTGCAGGCTGACTAGCTGTTTGTCAGTCACCTGGACTCAGCTTTTAAGAGCACATATGAAAGACCTCAATTTGAGAGGTCTCTGGGACAATAATTGTATATATTTTGTGCAAAATAAGCTTGTGATCTTCAAAAACCAGACTCAATTTCTGTCTTGAAGTGTTAGAAGAGCAGGATTATACTTGGTCCTGTTTGACTGTGAAGAATGAGCCCTAAGGTGAGATTGCAGAACAGTTATGCCTGGCAACATCCCACTGAAAGTGAGAGAGTATTCTAAAACTGAGCTCTGGGATCTTTAGATGCACAGTTAGCCTTTGATTCATCAGTCTGAGGACCACATATGGCAGGGGGGATCACCCAATGGGATGTGTGAGGGAAGAAGAAGAATCAAAGTCACATGGAGACAACTACTTGTTTTTCAAATCTCAACACCACTCCACCTGTAGAACACTGCTGCACAAAAACAGGGACCAGAGAACCATCCAAGTGTTAAACCATTCCCAGGAGGAGGTTGTCAAGCTCATTCTTAGAAAATGAGATTCTACCTAAAATCTGTAATCTACATACACATTTTATCATCCATGCACTTTTAAAATCTTTGCAAAATTGTTCCTTAAATTATCTGTGCAAAATCAACTCATTTTTTGTACCATCATCAACTGATATATGGAGAACAACTTTTCATCATTGCTCTCACTATGAATAATCAATCAAATACCATACAGTTTCAATATATTGGTTATAGCAACACAGGGCTAAAAAGGTCACCAGATGTACCAGATGATACAGGGAAAAAATAATCCATGAAAAATTCCTCTTTTGCATAACTCACTGATGTGACTTAATCTGCAAGCACATTCTTTCTACGTACAAAAGAAGTGGACAGTTCACACTTTGCTGCAATTAAAGTGCAGCATGAATCTATACCCCAGGGTTTTTTTCTTTCATTCACAGAACAAAGTTTCACAGTGAATTTCTAAACAACTGTACACAACTGTTAATAATTTCTTCCCCATTCTGAATTTGGGCACTTCATTTCTCCTTTCTAAAAGGAGATTCAGATTAATTTAAGTTTGTTAATTTGGGACAGTACTGCAATTTAATGAAATCAGTTCAAATTATGAAACTGTCCACCAAGAGCTGCAACTCTTTCCACTTTGACATCATCTGCAAGCTTTGTAAGCTTACTCTGCTTCACTGTTCAATTCATTAATGAAAAGCTACATAGAAGTTGGTCCAAGGTAAACTTCACTTAATTGGAAAAAAGCCTGTGAGAATTTACAGCAGGTGACAATGAGTTCTTGGGAGAGCAAAATGCCCATAAAGTACAGAACTGAGCCAGAAACTGGGTTTCCATCAGGGGTGAAATATTAGATATTTGTGATGTATTCAATAGTATCACTGGTTGTCCATCTCCATGGAGAACTGTAACCATGACAGAAATTTCCATCTACCTGAAAGAGGCATAATGTACCTTAATGAGTTCCAATTAGACAAGCTTAAACCAGAAGAATCAAACTGAAATGCCCAGCAATTTGAGTATGTGAAGAAGTCAAAGAGAAGAGGTATTTGTTTTAGCTTTATGACATTTAAAGCATGTTCATGTTTTCCTTTTAAAAACTGTTTACCAAAAAAACCTATTAAGATTGGTTGTCTCAGTTCCAAAACACCCTGGAGCAAAGTGCAGTTACAGCACAAGACATAACTTACACCATAGGAGCAACAGACACCAGGATGGATTTATACCATTTTCTACAATTACATACTTATGGTATTTAAGTTCTAGCAATTTTCTTGTATCTCTTTTAAAGCCATTCATTGTACCAAGCCACTTTAATTACCTGGGCAATTCATTGCATGCACATGAATTCAGCTACAGCATATGCAAAGATCTTCCCTGTTCCTAATTCCACTTTAAGTGTATTTAACTACCACGGTACTACTAGGTAGCTGTATGATTCTTGTTTTGCACAAAAAGAGACACTTACTTTAACTAGTTTATCATATTATTAAAAACTAGTTGGAATGCCTGGGAATATAGTTTTTCTACTGTTATAGAAAGATTTGGAGCTGACAGACAGTTAAAATTAGCTAAGCGTGAGGATGTTTTGCTAACTCTACCCCACGTCACATTGCAAAATAACAAATTCCATGTCATTCTCTGTTACAATTATTACCTTGACTCTCATTATAAACTAAACTGAGAAAGATTAAAATTTAACCAAATAAGTAACATGCTGCAAATTTAGTTAATTTTAATACTGCCTTGATTTTTCTCTGCAAACTTGGAGATGAGCATTAAACACTCCTCTTTAGGACATACTCTCTTCTGGGCTACTAAGGGATGATTCTTTACCCTTAGGCAGACATGTTCTGAATCTTTCCATGAAATTATGTGCTGAAAAAAGCCTCCTTTCAGAGGATTTTTAAGCAGCAGTCCATCCTTCCATTCAAAATACTGCTACAGGTCAAGTGCTGATGTATCTTCCCATCAGACATATTTTAAAATACTAACTCATTCACAAACACACTTACACTGTATTTAGGAAAGCTTGATTTAAGCAAAAGGAGAAAAACAAATCCAGGTACCTGAAATCACATTTTAATTCCAATTTAACTACTGAATCACTGGCTATAAGGCAGGGACTGTATACAATTATTACTACTTGGTCTTACTATCACTTTGTGTGGAGTATAATTCATAAGGTATCTATTCAGACCAACTACAAGATGGAATCTATCAGTAAGAGGTAACACAATCTCTCCTTCATGATCTACATACAGACTTGCTCACTCTTGAGACTGCGGCATTTTTATATATGCCCTTAAAATAAATCTTCATAGACCTGAAAAATCTTCATTAAGCAATACAATTAAGTACTTTTACAGTTTAAGGAACAACTATACAGGAGCTTAGAAGAATGCAAATTCTAACTGAAACAACTGAAGCAGGAGTTTGGAAGCACCTCAGTATTCAAGTCCTGTTACAGATTTAGCTCTTTGTTTCTTCTGCAAAAATTAGTGTTCTCTCCTCCCGCAGTGTCAAAGCTAAAACAGGTGAGGAAAACTTCCAGCAGGGTGGAAAACTTCACTGTGATAAACTAAACTTGCCAACATTGTTCTTCAGCAAAACATAGCCATGTTCTCAATATACAGTAAATTTTAAAACCTCAGTCTAACAGGATTGAGTATTTAAAGCACAAAACTATTTAAACTCTGTAAAGAAAAATCTTGCATATTTATGAAAACTACATTGAATCAAAATCCACATTGAATGTAGTTTCATACACCAAAGTTAAACCACAAACGTCATAAAACACCCAAAGAACAGTAAAACCTTTAAAAAAAAAAAATCACAGTAAGGTTAAACAGAAAGAAAAATCTAAGTAAATACGTTGAAGACGTGCATAATTAAGGAACCGGAGTAACCTTCATTCTACCCACAAGAGCAGCACTGTGAACTTCAAAAGAACCAAAGATTTCTTTAAAACTTCACTTAATCTGAGACTGGTGCTCTCTTACAGTGACACAGCTCTTTCATAATGAAGGAACATTAACAGAAGTGATACTAGTTTATTTTTCAGGAAACAAATCATATCCTCCAGTGGCAAATCTTCCTTGTACCACAGTGCTGGGGTATTGCAGCTGCAGAGCTATTTAATCCAGGTAAAACAGACAGGACAGCCCATGGCCGACAAAATCTATTGACATGGACATTCTGCCTAGCTGCAACAGCTGGCAAAGGGAGTACGTGGTTGAAGGAAACCGTGCTCAGCCTAAATGTATTATTGTTCTGTGCTTCAGTTTTCAGATTTCAAATTAAGCAGCTGGAAAAAAAGCTGCAAAACTTGAATAACTTCTTATGAAAAAAATAAACCACATATTATATACTAGTTGTGGCGTTTTTTAAAGTAGGAACAACCACATTAGAAAACCAGTATACAGTGATGAGCATCCAGGACAGTCAGTTACGAAGAACAATACAGCTACTTCTCCCAAATGTGAAAATATAACAGCATGATTAAATAATGTACACTTTGGAAGTGCAATCATAGTATATTTAAATACTCTATACAATGTTGAGCAAATGTTTTATAAAACGAAGACAAAATTCAAGTGATTGCCCTGGAAATCTCAAGAGACAAGACTGTTCTGAGACTGGCTACTCTTGCTGCTGTTGCTCTAGCTGCATGGCTCTGCTGTTGCTCTAGCTGCTCTAATCTGACACTCAAATGTGACAATCCTGTTAAGAATAAGACATACATGAGGATAAACATTACAGCACTCTACATCAGCAGCTAACTTAGAAGACCAGTAGCAGAACTAACAAGCGCATGGGATTTGCTGCAGACATTTAAAACCCTTCAGCCCTTTACTTACAGCATGCTTTTCATAAAGACTTAGAAATTAGCACTCAATTTCATTCTTCATCTTCTGTGATGATTGTTCAATTCAATACTCTCACATTCTTGTCTATCTGCAGTCGATGCCTATCAGTGAATTTTGGGACAGATTTTCAGCTAACAGTCTCAATTAAGGAGCAGTTAGCATCGCTCAATTAATGCCAACATACACCAGATGAGTATATAGCTCTGTCAAACAGTGCAGCCTCCTCAATAACAGAGAAAGGGATTCACTGAGTGGAAAAGTAATTCAGCAATTTCTTTTTCAAATAATGTAGACAACATACAGTCTATTTATCATTGGGGGACATTTTGTAAAGAATTCACATCAGACATTTACATGTTTTAAAAGATTCCTTTATTGCAAATGTAGGAAAAGTTTGAATACACAAGAAGAAATTCAAAAACATTTCAGACCATAGCAAGTTTTCTTCAGCTTCTCCCAAACACTCCAGAATACCTTGTATCTGTCATTTACAACCCATTTTAAAAGC